AAATGAAAATTGTACATTTAAGCTTGTAGTATACTTGTGTTCTTAGTAATCAAATAAACTATAATATAAGCAAATGTATTTAAAACAAGACATTTAGCTTTTGTTCTTTACTACAATTCTTTCACATCAAACTCTGCATGCATAAATATTCGATTGATTAGTTCGAGTTCTGTTTTATTTTCCAAAATTGATTTCTAAAAATCAAGTAACATGTTTTTAAGATTTAAAATGTATTTTAGTTCTTATCTTAACTCTTTGAACACAGTTCTGCCTCGCTGCTCACCATATAGTAGTGATTATCTTTTAAAACCTGATCTGAATGATAGCTTTAAACTGTACAAAAGCAGGCTACACGTGACATGAATGTAAAAAAAAATCTTAAAAGTAAGTATAACAAAGCATAAGAAAAGCACATTGTCTAAGGCAAGAATATTAACAAATAGAAAATATTTGTGTGAAAGAATATTTAAAAATAGAAAACATAGAAAGTAGAAACCTTTCTGTGAAAAACAAAACATCGAATTTATCAATGATAAGTTTTAAAACAACATAGAATGATTATATATATATATATATATATATATATATATATATATATATATATATATATATATATAGCTTATATAAATATAGGGAGAAATACAAATACAATTGTTTGTGAATGTTTAAAGTAAAGACATTCCTCAACACACAATAAACGTTTCAACCCATTCAAATCACTACAAACACGAGACACATGAAAAACTCTCCTGAACTAATCCCTACTGTACACATGAATGACGACATCACTGTACAAGCCTTGTCTCTTGAATGTCGTCTCATCACCCAGCTCTTTACCATTGTGTTTCCAGACTTGCTGACTAGCTGGTATCTTAAACTTCAAAGGATTTTATAACATCATTCGTTAAATCAAACAAACATATCATAATCATATCTAAAACACTCTAATAGTTAACAGGTGTATTCCATAAATATAGTTGTTGTTGTTTTTTGACAATTTTTATCCAAACACACTCACCATAGCAACATAGTATCATCCCCTCCGTTTCTACGTGTGTAAATAATTAATTATTTAGATAAAAAATTATAAATGTAGTTAATTGTTTTGAGACTTCAATAAGTTAAAAAAATATTTTCGTTTGTACATGTTTATATATTTAATTATTTACATTAAAAATTATAAAGATAGTTCGTTTTGAGACTTTCGTAATTATAAAAAAAAATATATTGCCGTTTCCACGTGTTAATATTTTTTTAAAGAATACAATTTTTAAGACTTTCATAAAATAAATTACCGTTTCTACGTGGTTAAACAATTAATTATTTAAATTTAAAATTATAAACGTCGTTAATTTTTAAGACTTTCATAATTTAAAAAAAAAATTATATTACTGTTTCTACTTGGTCTCCTTTCAGTCCTTCAATTGTCATTGTGATATTTATATCGTCCTGAAAATAAAGAGATACACGACTAACTTATTTTTTTTTCAACAAAACCATTCAACCTTTTAATTACAGTTAAATTACAGGTCACAGCAAGTATTTATAGTTTTAGCTAAGACTAATTTCCTCAATTACGAATCACACCATGTAATAAAACAAATACTTGACAACACCATAAAAATGACAACACACACTTAACAGGAATACCCTTCACATAAACTAAAGCCCGTCTATACATAACAAAAGCTAACTTTCCGTGTTGATTTATCCAGTGGCGTAGCCAGGATTGTCTCAAGGGAGGGGTTCCAATTTTTACCCGGGGACAAACTTTTGATTTGCACCCATCCCCCCTCAGACTTTTGATTTGCCCCCCCTCCTCTCAAACTTTCGATTTGCACACCCCCTCTCCCCTCAAACTTTCGATTTGCACCCCCCCTCATACTTTATATATATACCGAGGGGTCTATGGGGGGAGGGTTATGACCCCCCTTGCCTACGCCACTGGATTTATCCCTACATTAGTAACTCGCTCTACAGTTTTTGACTTACAAAAAAATAAATGTTCACTCAAAATATTCATACAAAATTACTTTATAATTAACAACCTATCATGTAAATATTAATTTGCTTTCAACTTTGACCATGCAAATAACACCTCAAAATATTAATCACTAAAAACTATAAATAATTAAAACATGTCAACTACTTTTAAGTGGTGGTAGAGCAGATGGTAGCTTATGCGAAATTCGCGGATTCACATCTTTAGCTCAAGTCAACCAGACTTTTCTAAGTCAACAAGCTCTGTCAATTATATAACTTTAGTGAGGGAAAGTAGAAAAATAGAATAGACTGTCTACTTCCTCATTAGTCGAGGTCACGAAAAAAGATTCCACCTATTCCATTGACTCTCCGGTCAGCAAAAGTACAATTTACCTTATAAATGACAGTTTTATCATTATTATGCACATGGAATTTCGTTGTGGCCGACTCAGGCAGACTTTCTGCTATAGCGTCGCCCATTGTGTTCATTTTTTTTTTAAATCGCTTTATACTCTGAAAAAAACATTAACATAAACATTCGTTTCTGTTTAGATAACATATCATATTAATAATATTAAACTTTTGTAAAATTATTGGAAAGCCTTAATGCAGAGGCGTCGTGAGGCGGGGGTGGAGGGTGCGGACCGCACCGGGTGACACCATTTAAGGGGGGGGGGGGGTGACACCAAGACAAAAAAATTGCAAGACATAGAATAAATGTTTTTCGCCAGTTCGACGAATGGTTAATTATGAAGTAAACATTCAAACTATAGAGAAAACAATGCTACAACCAGCTGTATTAACAACCGACCATATCTAAGCATCGGGTGAGACGCGTCTTATTTACGTCACTGCCGTAGTGCTATATTTTTTTTTTTAAATATTTCAACATAAAGGAAAATAAATGAAAAAATTACTGTATCGTCATTAAATTCATATTACACAGCCTGCATGGGAGATTATATTTATTCTTTTAATTTTAACATTGACTTTTGTACATATTTTATGGTAAAATCAGGAATTACAAGAAAAAGGTATTTGTCTTTATGTATTAGTTTTACTCTAGCTATCAGTGAGTTAATTATAATAATGAGTAATAGAGAAAAGAGATCATGGATTTAGATTTCGTTTAAAAAAACAAAACAATGACAGCCTAAAACAAATGGGGAATGTTGAGAAGTGGAGTCAAGTGTTGCCTGGCATTTTTAACTTCCTTATTGTTAAATAAGAACTAAACGGTTAAAAAACTGTATTGGTTTACATTTTATTTCACACCATGATCAATTATGAAAGATAATCGACAACCTTGAAGTTTTTTTTTATTACAAAAAATTTTAAATGATGAAACGGCTTCCATATTAAAGCTGTAGGCCTAGGCCTTTTTAATTCTGTGTTGTTTTTTTTTTATCCGTGATGTGACCTAGATTTAGTTCCCTGGATTTTGAAAATGTACTTGCTGCTCTTATTTATCATTGTTTTTAAAGCTGACACTGGATCAGTGCCTTAGCTTGCTATCTTGTTGTTTAAGCCATCACTTACATTTTTCTTGTTGTGAATTAAGTTTTGTTGGTGACGGAGATCGAAAGTGACAATGCTTTGGTTTAATGTATTGTCTTTTACCTAATTTTACCGAAACTTCTGTTTATGTATAGGCCTACTTAGCGATTTTGGTAAAAAAAAAACATAAATAAGCATAACCTGTTATAATTATATCTCTATGAAATCAGATTTAAAAAAAACACAACTAATTTAAGCATAAACCTACCACAATAAATTATTATAAAAGTATATATATATATATATATATATATATATATATATATATATATATATATATATATATATATATATATATATATATTGGTAAGTCGGTTTTTAAGGGTTGTTTTTAACTTACATTAAACTATTACTGACGTGATGTGAAGGCTGAATCTAAAAGTTGTTGTTCCTTAATTTTAATCGGTTTCGATCAACGTGAAGATATTAGTGACAAATTAATTTGGAAATTCCCGATTGATATCGGGGAAAAATTGCAGTATTGGTTAAATGGATATTGCCGATAACGGGGATTCAATTTATTAAGCCAGAAATAAAAATTTAAAAATTCAACAGCTTCAATTTGAAATTTACTTTAAAGTTTGCCTTTTGTAAATATTCACACTGATTGTGATTGTTTTAAAAATTTAACCATGGCAAGGGTTGAGAGATGCTTCTATTGAATCAGTGATGATAACAAAATTAGAATTGTATCTGTATGCAAAAATTACCAAGCCATGATTCAAAGGTACGGGAATAAAATTTTAAACAAGAAACATGAACCACTTTCTTCACTAACGGTAGACGTTTAAAGGCTTAGAGAAAAAAAAATGTTACTCAGCAGACTCTGCATTAAAGAGCGTTTTATCTAATAAAAAATAACTTAAATTTATTTTAGAAAATGCAAGATTACCGTATTAAATTATTCTCTTTGCCATGTGAAATGCTTCTGCGTCCAATACTTTACACATAGTTATAAATATCGTCACACTGAGTAATGAGGAAGTGTCTTCTCTAAATTCCACTTTCACACACAAGTACGTTATAGATTTGTGGTTAGATTTGATTATATGTAAAATCTTATTTTTTTTAATTAGGCTCGGGAACTTAAGCTAATTTATATTGAACATTGTGTTCCAGCTTTAAAAATAATTTATTCGGTAGAGTAAATTATAAAATATGTTGCTTTTCGAGAGACATATTGATTTGTGAAAGTTGCTTCCCATTTATAAGTTAACATTGACCAAGGGATAAAACAAAATTAATGTTTCCGAACTTCGATTAAAACACAGAGATATTTAATAATAATATAATAATGTTAACTCATTGTTTACTTTTTTCATTACATGTTAGCAAAAAAGTTTTATGTTAAACTAAGGTTATTTTTTATAGCTTTTGGAAGTTAAATTTATGTATATGATTTTAGATTTTAATAGAAAACCATTAACTTCTTGTAAAATACTAATATTTCATAAAGGAGCAAGTTTCTTGACATTCAATCACATAGCAGTAATTTGTCTAGCTCTAGCACAGTGATCGGCAACTGTAATTTTATATTTGAGAAGGATAGTAGCGGGAAATAACAATCCATCACAATCATGGTAGATGACAAAGACCATGAAGAGCATATGCCAGAATCTCCAGAAATCCATTTTGAACCCATTGTCAAGTTGTCCCTTGTTGAGATCAAGACAATGAAAGAAGATGAAGAAGTGTTGTTAAACTTGAGAGCAAAGCTTTTCCGCTATGATCATGAGTGAAAAGAAAGAGGCTCAGGAGAATGCAAAATTTTGAAACATAAAAAAAACGGCCTGATCAGGATTTTAATGAGAAGAGACAAAGCACTGAAAATCTGTGCTAATCACTATATCTATCCATCTATGGAACTCAAACCCAACTGTGGCAGTGATCGGGCATGGGTTTGGTCCACTACAGGAGATTTTGCAGATGAAGAAAGCAAAGAAGCGGTGTTCGCCATCAGATTTGCAAATGCAGAAAATGCCCAGAAGTTTAAAACAGTATTTGATGAGTCTGCAGAGCAAATGAAGAAAGTTTTGAACACCAAGTCAGTTATAGAAAATGGAGATACTAATGCTGAAAAAAAAAGATGAAGAGAAGGAAAAAGTGGATCATGGAACCACTGAGCTGGCTGGTCAGTTGAAAGACTTAAATGTCAATAAGCATACAGAAGAGACCCCTGCTGAGGGTAGTACTGAGTGATATTTAATTAGATAGTGAAAATCATTTGACATCTTGCCACAGTCTACATGTTGTGTTTAACATTGATTCCATTCAGCGGTCTCCTACCTTCCTCACTGGCAGAATAAAGGGCAGTGTTGTATTCATAATGACATTGGTCAGCGGTTTACGTAACTCTAAAATATCCTTATGTCTAGAATTAAAGTGATGTCAATTAACAGAGGTTTGAAACATTTTTTGGATAAAGTAATGAACCTCAAGTGTATGTTTCTTGCAATATTCATCACTGAATACATTTTTTTTATGACAAAAGGTGCTTTACTGGCTACCAAGTAGCTATTTTAATTCTATGTAATTAAAATAAATTAAGGATAAATACATATTTTTTTTAAGAAAAAAATTTCTTTCCATTCTTAATGGTTACAAAATTGATGGGCATAGTATTGTATTATAAAGTTTATTGGTCCAATTTCTTCAAAAATAAAAATATATTTTTTAAATCAATAGCAAATTCTTGTCCAAATAAAAGTTTTGATGGATGAGCAGTTTTCGGTTGTTTTTTGTTTTTTTGTACTAAGTCATTTAAATAGTTACATTGTTTTAGCTCAAATATGTAGATCAGTACAATTGGATCATTAAACTTTCAATTTGTTTGACCGAGTTAACCATTTTATTTTTAACATACTGTCATATTTTGTAAATAAATTGTCAACATTGTGCATTGTAAAAAAAAAAAAAAAAAAAAAAAAAAAATCGGCAACTGTTATCCCTTTCAATTTTGTATAATCACATACATGACATCATGTAAATATTCATTATGTACATTTGCAAAACCTTTCGTTTTCATTTGATGCTCGAAAGTATGTAAGAACTTGATGTTGATGCAAATGAAAGTATTTTTTTAAAAAAAAGGCTCGCGAGCCGCATGCGGCTCTCTTGATGTCAAGGTGCGGCTCTTCCGCTCCATGCATAAATATTAATAGTTATTTTATTTTCAAAACTCATAAAAATATAGTTCTACAACATACGGTAATGAACGATACAATAATAAATATAAACAATAAACACTCGCTATTCTATTAGAATATTTTGTTACTCCCTATTTGAATGTACTTGTTTTCTAAAACTGAGTTATTTAAATTTAAACAACACTTGTGCTTGGATCATATTCATCGGGACACATGTTTACCTACCAGAGGCGTAGCTAGGGGGGGGGGGAGTGCGCCCGCACCGGGCGCCGACCCTAGGGGGGAGCCAAATGGGGTGGAAATTTTTTTTAAAGCCGATTGTATGCTGCAGTTTTGAATTATAAACAGTCTAAGTTAAGAAATGTAATGGCTACAAGCCTTGACATACGGGATTAATAGTTTTCTACCTTGATTGGGTAACTGTAAAAGATATACCCTTAATAAACAGTGACCGGCAAATTCCGCTTTACCGCTTTTTGTAGATGGGGAGAGGGGCGCTTTTTGCTACCAAAATAGGAAGAATTTACACTAGATTGGCGAGTCGATAAATGTTATCGCTTATAAAAGAAACCAATTGTATTAAAGCTAGTGTTTTTGTCTTAGTCAGATTCGAACCGGTTTTTGTTCGAAAAACAGAGACGTTCTGAAAAAAAGTATCGTTTTTGTCAAGTCAGTTTTAACAGTAGTAGTTATCGAGCTGTTGGACTAGGACATCTGCGGCTGACAAAGCAACTCAATCTTAAACCTATGATAATAGCTGTAAGCAGAGGCGTAGCGATGGGGGGGGGGGGGGCAGGGGGGACATATGTCCCCGGGCGCCGAACTTAGGGGGCGCCAAAATGGGTTGCAAAAAGTAATCGAAAGTTTGAGGGGGGGGGGGGGGCTGCAAATCGAAAATTTGTCCCCGGGCGCCGGAAAGAGTCGCTACGCTTCTGGCTGCAAGACAATGTTACATCAAGTGTTCATCGCTTATTTTATTATATGTAAGTAGTAGGTTTAAGCGTAATATTTATTAATTTGCTTTATTTGCCAGCATTGCTTCTTCCGTACGTCGGAAATGGAGACTTGCATGCGTGCAAAACTTTTCCCACATTTGCCGAACCAATGTGAAGTTAACATAAAAAGATATCAGTTGTTTTGTAATTATAATGATTGTTCGTTCAAACAAAATATAATAGCATCGCGCTTTTTACATACACATACACACACACACGCACACTTACAAACACGCACACACGGAATTTATGTCTGCATTCAGTGAAGGTGGCCGAATTTGACGAGATGGATTCGATCATTTTTGTTGGCTTGTAAAAAAAAAAAAAAGGTTAAAAAAATGCATCAAAACCTAAAAATTCGAAAATGTAATATTTGTAGACGCAATTTTATAAATTTTGATATTTTAAAATAGTTTTTAACATTATTGCTACATTTCTATTTAATTTCATCAAGCGTAAATTGTTACAACAAGTTTCACTTTCGCAAGACTTGATTAGCTCTACAAGATCCCAACTTCGACCTAGTTCAGCCATGCTTTTCATGATTTTCAGTGACAAAATGAAAAAAAAGAAAATTATTTATGGCTTTTTAAAATTTTATATTACTGAAAATATTAAAAACACCAAATATATCCAATCTTAGTAAAGTCTGACAAAAAAACTCACAATAAAGTTATTAGAACCGATTTTTAAAATACTTTAAACAACATTCGATTTTTTTCGAGACCGTTCACGGTTACCTCCATTGGCAGGCATTTAAGTCAAGTGATTTGCTGTCAGTCAAGTTTAAGTCAAGTGATTGCTGTCAGTCAAGTTTAAGTCAAGTGATTGCTGTCTGTCAAGTTCAAGTCAAGTGATTGCTGTCAATCAAGTTTAAGTCAAGTGATTTGCTGTCTGTCAAGTTCAAGTCAAATGATTGCTGTCAGTCAAGTTCAAGTCAAGTGATTTCTGTCAGTCAAGTTCAAGTCAAGTGATTGCTGTCAGTCAAGTTCAAGTCAAGTGATTTCTATCAGTCAAGTTCGAGTCAAGTGATTGCTTTCAGTCAAGTTCAAGTCACGTGATTGTTGTCAATCAAGCTGCTAGTTTAGTACCATCTGTGCCACGTGTTGTGGTCGATATATGAAAGAGTAATTGTTGTATTGGAATAAAAATGATCCAATCTATCCTGCCGAAGTATGGACCAATAACAACAACTCTCTACATCAAAAGAGTTGTGTGACTTAGGCCAAATTATCTCCAGTATTCCTGATGGTATCTGCGTCTGGAAGCCATGTATCGCATGTGTTTGTTTTGATACACGTTTGGTTCGTCATATATCTGATACGCAATTAATATTCCATGTAACTTATTGTAACAAGTGTTATTACCGCTTTTGGCACACATTCCTACTTCCTTGGTGTATGATATATTTTATTGGGAAACTCATTCTCAAATAAGTAAAAAAAAAAGTATCTATTAAAATAATGTTAAATACTAAATAATTTAAGCATTTTAATATATAAAATTGTTCTTAAATTTAAACATTTTTAATGTATAGCTTGTTTTTGTCTTACAAGCAGATGTATCATCGATTTAACCAGCAAATGCTCTCTCGGGTCAACACGCGTCACTGTCCCCTTTTAGAATAACACAAAGCGGAAAGGACCGATCACTCCTCGCATGACTACGCTCCTGCTTAATCCAATACCCACAATGCTTAGTCTTCATGTACAACATGAGGACGCAACTTTGCACACTGGGATTCTAAATGAACGCAGGTGTTTCTCGTCTAACCACAACTGAAGGAGATCAAAAACACTAGCTGCAACACTTGGGGAGGTTTTCAGTACGTGTCTAGCAACACCACGACAGAAAGTATTAACATGTTTTCTACCCTTCTTTTAGACACAGGCGCTAAAGCTTCATGTTCAAGAAATGAAGGATTCGTCACAAGTGGTAAGACATTAGAAAAAGTCAGACTTATCATTTCACTAGCACCAAGCAGCGAACTCTGGATTGGGTGCAACGACACGGACGTTGAAGGGATGTTCGTGTGGATGGAGAACAAAACCTCTTTCACAAACTACTCGATATTTTATAAAGGTGTACCCAACGGCTGAGATGTCGATGACTGCTATCGTGTGATGACTATTAGAGGCAGAAAATTGGGACATCGTGGCACAGAACCCATAACGTCTGCCGTTGGTATATGAACCTTTAGTGTGATTTATTTATCTGTTGAACGCCTCAAAGAAAAGGAACTCAGAAACGGCTAAGGGAGACGTGGAGGTGTATGGTGGGGAAGCAGCTGGCAGAGTCGGGACTGTCAAGTGGGGACTGCCAGGAAAACTGCCGGAAGTAGCTTTCCTTGGCGGTCCCATGTGTCTTGGGCACAAAAAGGAGAAGATGATGATTTAGCTGGTGTTTACTGAGTAACAAGACAGAAAAAGTTACAAGACGGTCACAATTTATATTAATTTAATTATTTGCCAACATTTCAAAACATATTTGTTAAAAGTTTATGGTGCGTACACATAAAATATTTGCTTTAAAAATAAAGAAAATGCACAAGAAAAACATGTATTTGTAAACTGATAAAGCACTTAGTTTTTTATCATTGTAGTTCCTTGATTACAATTTAGTAATTAGTGACTTCTCTCGACGCAAGTAGTGTCAAATGGTATTGATTAAAATTTAGTAGTTAGTAGTCTCCCTTGACAAGCTTAACGTTAAATAGTATTGATTACAATTTAGTAATTAGTGACTTCTCTCGACGCATTTTACGGCAAATGGCACAGGGGAAACTACCCCACCAAATACGTCTTTCTCAGAAGGTTTAAAATTTGGATCAGCGGGCAGGAATTCAAACTTCTGAAACATGGAGGACAGGAACAAGAAAAGTTCCATCTTGGCCAGGGATTCCCCAAGACAGATTCTACGACCAATTGAAAAAGGTATTAGCTCTTCTCTAGTCAGCAAACTTCCTTGCTCGTCAATAAATCTTTCAGGTCGGAAATTTTCAGGATCCCCCCAGATCTTCTCGTCTTTGAGAACAGCTTCTACATTCGGAATGACCTGGGCGCCTTTAGGAATTGTAAAACCGTTGAGAACTGTGTCCTGGGAACAGACGTGATTTAGCGCAAACGGCACGAGACTCCCCACTCTTTGAGTCTCCATAATGAACGCGTTTAAATATTTGAGACGTGCCTTGTCAGATATATTTGGTTGACGATCTGTTCCAATTTTTTCTTTGATCTCCTGGTAAAGTTTTGTCTGGATTTCCGGGTTTTTCAAGACGAAATAAAGACTCCATAAAATCGTGGTGCTGGTGGTCTCTGTCCCTGCAAGAAATAAATTTTCTATGTTTCGAATAAGGCTGATATCGCTTAGGTTTGTAGGTTCTTCTGAATTTTGTTTCTTCTCCATCTCGTTAACATACGCTAGAATATAATTGTCCAAGTTGTTTGGGTCATAATTTTTCCGGATTTCATTCACCATTTTTGTAGCAAACTCACGTAGTTCAATTGTCTCAGAAATTAATTTGTCTGCATTCAGCTTGTATTTCGGTAGATATTTAAAACATGGAAGGAAATTAAGTTTTGAAACTCCTGAAGTTAGATGAGCTATATCGTTTAACATGGATGTTAGATGTTGTATTTTAGGATCGTCGAATTCAAATCTTTTCCCGAAAATAATGGAACAAATTACGTTGGAGATGCTGACGTTGATGAGACTTCGAAACTGCATTGCTTTGAATGCTCTGCCATCACCTTTTGCTAGTTCCTTAACAAAAGCAGCAACTTCTTCTGTTATTTTTTCTGCCAGTATATTTTTCCCCATACCGAAGCCTCTCAGGATTGAAAGAGAAACCGATCGTTGCTCTTTCCAATACGCACCGGAAGACCGAACCACACCTTTCGTCATGTGTTGCACATTTCTTGCCAGAAAACTTGTTGTGGGTCTGTCTGAAATAGAGTCTCCGTGTTTCACGAACGCTTCCTTTATAACCTCAAACGAATTTAAAACGACGATTGTTTCTTGACCTAACTTCAAACTGAAGACGTCGCCAAGTTTTTGAGACCATTTCTTGAACTGTTGTCTTGGATCTCGCTCCAACAAATACAGATGGCCCACAATAGGCAGAGCTAGCCCAGGGGATGGGGGAAGATGTTTTGGTTTTTTAAGCAACCAGTAGAGGGTTGCTATGACGACAACCAATGCAACCAGCCAAGACGTCAACTCCATATTTTAAAATTTTGAAACCTGGAAAAAAAATTACAATAAATAATTGTGTAGGTTTGGGCTTCAGTGAAACTAATTGCCTTCGGCTTTAATTCAGTTATAGAGCTTACGACTGCTAACAAATGTCACGAGTTCGGATCCCGGGCTCGAGTCTGTAGGACGCATGAGTCCACTCAGCTCTTATGGGTACCTGACTTATTTTAGGGAAACAACTACGGCGGGGCATAGTAATGACAGAATCATCGCCCTTCATGCCAAAATTATTGAAACAGATGAATTCTACTTCATCAGCCATATATGTCTTGGACACGCAAGTGAAAAAAAGATGATGATAATTCAGTTACTTTAGTATTTCCTCCGTGAATGTAGAACCTAGTTTTTCTAATTGTTCTAACCATTGGTAACAAACATGTCTTCACATCCTGCAGCCGTAACCACATAGTGTAGAGTACGGGGATTTGTGTACAAACGTGTTGATTTTTGAGAGAATCTGGTCATGTCTGGAGAACGTGGCTAGTGGACGAGATCGTTTACATTTTGTTAATTTGGCAATTTATGGGGAATGTGCTGGGACTTGTGGGAGCTATTGTTGCATAGTTTTAGAATTGTTTGTATAGTGTATAATGTCTGTATCATTGTCATCATCATCGTCTTTTTTCCGTTTATGCACAAGACACATGGTGCAGATGAAGTATAGGTCATCTGTTTCAGATGAGTTCAGCAAACAAGGGGGTAATATGGTCAGAACTATGGCCAGCCGCCTCTCTTTCTTTATTGTGAGTTAGTTCCCATCAGAGTATAGTGACTCTGGGACGATCTACTGATTTGAACCCGGATTAGAACTCGCGACTTTCGGGTTAGCAGTTTATTTCTCTACAGCTAGTCTATAATGTATAAGGTTGCTAAAGTAGAAAATGTTGAAACGTTGGAAGAATAGATACTGGTGAAACTTGCATGCAAAAACTAGATAGAGTAAACAAAGTATGAAAAACATACAAGTGTGTATTTTGACAACTTTAATTTTAACCGACGGCAATACACTTAGATTATATTTTAAGACAATGTCTTTAAAGTGAAAAATTGCTTTATACATTGTAATAGCATTTTAAATGATATAATCTAAATGGGGTAATTTTTTAATGTATCCTTCCTGTACAGTTAAAAGTTCTTATAAATCGTATCTGTATAGTTAAACGTTCCTAGAGTGTCTTACCTGTAAGTTAAACGTTCGTATAGTATCTTAGCTGTACAACTATACGTTCCTAATGTATCTTGCATGTATGTCTAAAAATCTCATCTTACCTGTACAGTTAAAAGTTCCTGTAGTATCTTACCTGTGTTACTACAAGTTCCTAATGTATCTTGCCTGTATGTCTGAACATTCCTATCAAATCTTACTGTACAGTTGGAAGTTATTTTATTTTCATATGTTACTTGTACTGTTTAAAGTTCCTTCGTTATGTTCCCTGTATAGTGTGGTTAACAGTTCCTATGGTATGCGGAATAATACATCAAGTTAAACAAATAATTGCTTCTGTGCCTTGTCAGAATTATTTAAATAAACGCATCAACATCTAGTTCTCCAACCCGTTTGTGAGGTAAGTATTTCTCAACATCTGTTCTATATCGATCACAAAGTTGTAGCGCACATCCTAATTTATGTCAGATGAAATAAAGATAATATAACAGCAGCTAACACCGGCTGTCAGCACGTACTCCGCGAGATCATCTTCAAACGTTAGGATCAGAATTCGGTGAATGTAATTTATCTTCAAACAAAGTTATGATAATTATAAGCCTCCTCGCTTGTCCTCCATCATATTTTAATTCACACATAGACATTGCTGGCAATAAAACATGAGGTATCAAGGACGGAGATTCAGTGGCGTAGCGAGGTCGGATGTGACCCGGTGCAGCACTTAAATGTGTCACCCCCCCCCCCCCAGAGGCGTAGCGACCCTTCCCGGGGACAAACTTTCAAATTTTCGATTTGCACCCCTCCCCTTCAAACTTTCGATTTACACCCCTCCCCCTAAAACTTTCGATTTGCACCCCCCCCCCCCACCTCAAATTTTTCTCTATATATTTTGCTATTTTTTTGCCTTGCTGTCACTGCCCCAAAGGTGTCACCCGGTGCGGTCCGCACCCCCGCCCCTCCCCTCGCTACGCCTCTGCGGAGATTAAAGAATGACCAGAGAGTGTAATAGTTAGAAAGAATAATGTATACATCAGCAGTGGCGTAGCGAGGTCGGGTGTCACCCGGTGCGGCACTTAATGGTGTCACCCTCCAGAGGCGTAGCGACCCTTCCCGGGGACAAACTTTCAAGTTTTCGATTTGCAACCCCCCCTCCTCAAGTTTTTCTCTATATATTTTCCTATTTTTTGCCTTGGTGTCACCCCCTTAAATGGTGTCACCCGGTGCGGTCCGCACCCCTTCCCCGCCGCCCCCCCCCCCTCGCTACGCCCCTGTACATCAGTAATGAAAGAATTATTTAATCCTTAACAATTGTTCCAATGTAGGTCTTTGTTCGTATTGTTCAGTCCTCAAGGTCTCGGTTAGTGGATTATGCTTTTCCTAAACAGTTTTATACTGCTGGATAATAGGTCCGTACCAATGGCACCTGTGCCACACACCCCCCTCCCCACACACACCTCTCATATTATACTACTTTTTTTTTTAATTCCTGGGCATCCGTGTAGGTTTCTGGAAAGAGCTTTACTCCCTCCCAGGAATATTTTTAAGCGCTATATCAAACACTTTCTTTTATAACGTTTCTCTCTCTCCCTCTCCCTTTCTCATTTCTCTCGCTTTTTTTCTCTCTCTCCCTGTCTCTCTCTCTCGCTCTTATCTCTCGTTCTCTCCCTCCTTGTTTCTTCTTTCTCTCTTTCCCTCTCTCTCTCTTTGTCTGTCTCTCATTCTCTATCTCGCTCTTTCTTTTTCCCCTGTCTCTCTTTCCACTTTCACTCTCCTCTCTCTTTCTTTCTTTTCTCTTTCTCTTTCTCTTTCTCGCCTCTCTCTGTCCCTCTCCCTCTCTCTATTTCTCTCTCCCTGCCTCTCTTTCCCTGTCTTTCTCTCTCTTCCTGTCTCTCTCTTCCTTTATCTATCTCTTTCTCTCCCTTTCCCTCTTTTTCTTTCCTTTCTCTATCTCTTTTCTCTTTCCGTTTCTACTTTCTCTCTCTTTCTCTATTTCTGGCTCCCTGTCTCTCTTTCCCTCTCTGCCCCTCTCTCTCTCTCTCTCTCTCTCTCTGAATGAACTTTAGCCTGAATATAATTTTAAAAAGTATTTGTGATTTCACACACTTCAATTACTTGACTGTAAATCTGTGATTTCATACATTAAAATTATTTGACTGTAAATCTGTGATTTCACTCACTAAAATTACATGACTGTAAATCTGTGATTTCACACACTAAAATTACATGACTGTAAATCTGTGATTTCACACACTAAAATTACATGACTGTAAATCTGTGATTTCACACACTAAAATTACATGACTGTAAATTTGTGATTTCACACACACTAAAATTACATGACTGTAAATCTGTGATTTCACACACTAAAATTACTTGATCGTAAATCTGATTTCACACACTAAAATTACTAGACTGTAAATCCAATAAGCTTGAATATTGCTAAACAGTTTATATTACTTTTTTTTAAATATTTATATTTAGCCAGGTGAGGTTCGTTAGCTGAGGATAGCAACTCATCTAGAAGAGAAAACTCCATAATAAATCAACTACCTTTCTACTGATTCTCCATGGAAAGACAAACACTATGGAAGTATTTCAAGAAAGAAAACCAGGCTCAAGTCGAACTCATTGGTTTTATGGCGCATAATTAGTTGAAACAGGTTCTTACATGAGTTGAAAGATATCTCTTCAACATATTACTAAAGAACGGAGAACTGGTTATACAATTAATCAAACAAGGCAGTTATATATGTGTTCAGTGGCGTAGGCAGGGGGGGGGGGGGTTAGGGGGGGGGGGGGGGGGTCATAACCCCCCCGTAGACCCCTCGGTATATATATAAAGAATGAGGGGGTGCAAAATCGAAAGTTTGAGGGGGGGTGCAAAGCGAAAGTTTGAGGGGGGGGGGGGGCTGTGCACATCGAAAGTTTGAGGGGGGGGGGGGGCAAAGCGAAAGTTTGAGGGGGGGGGGGGGCTGTGCACATCGAAAGTTTGAGGGGGTGCAAATCAAAAGTTTGAGGGGGGGGGGGGGGCTGCAAATCGAAAGTTTGAGGAGGGGGGTGCAAATCAAAAGTCTGAGGGGGTGCAAATCAAAAGCTTGTCCCCGGGTAAAAATTGGAACCCCCGCCCCTTGAGACGATCCTGGCTACGCCACTGTATGTGTTTACCATATTAACGTACAAATACAAGTAGAGAAGATCAATAGCTCTGGCAAATACGTTGTTTTTTATTGTTGTTTTTTTTAAATTTTATTTTAAAAGCTGTTACCACTGGACTTGTAATGAGTTCTCAAATGAATTAAAAGAAATCTCTCAACAATTCAATTAAATACAAAGAATTGACGAAATGGGTTATAATAGAACAACAAAACATCTTACACACGCGTCTGATAATTGATTTTTTATTTTTGAAAAAAAAACTGTTATTGCTGGTAATTTATTGTCAAATGAGTTATAAAAAATGTCTCAGCAATTCAATTAAATACAAAGAATTGACGAAATGGGTTATAAAATTGAAGAAATAAGCCACTTATATACGCTTCTGGTAATTGATGTTTAATTTTTTAAAAACCTGTTATGGCTGGTCATTACTTGTCAAATGAGTTATAAAAAACCTCTCAACAATTCAATTAAATGCAAAAAATAGAATAAACTACTTATGAAATAGAATAATCAAGCCACGTACATACGTACCTACGTCTGCAATACATACTAATAAAAGATCAACCGTGCTGATAGGTATTAGTTTTATAATTAAAAAAAAATCTATTACCACTTAACCTGTCATTAGAACACAGGTGTTTTGAACATGACAGTCATGGATAACCAATTGAATAGCGCCTAGTTTAGATCAGCTGTTATAATGATTTCGCGAAATCATCAAACGCGTCAATGGGTTTATTTTGTCAGGAGCAGCTGTCGATGGCTCTTCTCATGACGTTTACTATAATGAGCACATGGCACATGTTTCGATAAACCGGGAGTGATCTCCCCTAAACGTTCTCGAATATTCTTATATGACACCACGGGAGATGGTACATCACGATATAGACATGATTTTTAGTCCATTTTTACTTTCTCGTATATACGAAGTATAGAGAAAGTCTTTTAATTGTGCGGACGCACACACACACACACAGACATACGGACAAGATTGCAAAACTATGTTTTTACGACTCAGTGAGCTGTAAAACGTCAAGATTTGCAAAAATCTTGGTGTGTTTTTTTTTTTGCACGATTACAATTCTTTCTCTATACTTTGTATACGAGAAAGCAAAAACGAGTATCTGCCCACTGTTCATACAGTGTTGACACGATTATCTGCCCACTGTTCATACAATGTTTACATTCCTATAATCCTTTCTTTAAAGTTTTGATGTTTGGTTTATACCTGTTATCTAATAACACACGCAGTTGCTTGTTATTATTTTATGATCTCTTTTATCTAGAACCATATTGTCGATAAATATTAACGATTAACCTAATATCGGAGCTGTTCTGATTGGGCCAGATGTAGAGGAAAAACTGTGTTATTTTTCTTTACACTTATACTATTTCCCCGTCTCCCGTATATTTTCTAGTGTTTCTAGAACAATCCATCTTTAAAGTGTACATTGATATACACGATGACTTAGAAAGATGTTCTAGATCTTCTGACCTGCAAATACCTGAATTCGACTAGCTAGTATAGGGCTTGTAAGTCTACGGTCACGAAATCTACTAGCTGACGAGAAGTTGTGACCTACTTACAAGCCCTATTGACGTATCAAAAAGCAGCAGAATGGGGTGCGTGGACCTTTGACCACAGGGGCTTTGACCCAGGGGCGTAGCGAGGGGGGGGGGGGGGGGCGGGGGGTGCGGACCGCACCGGGTGACACCATTTAGGGGGGTGACACCAAGGCAAAAAATAGCAGAATATATAGAGAAAAACTTGAAGGGGGTGCAAATCGAAAGTTTGAGGGGGGGTGTGCAATCGAAAGTTTGAGACGGGGGGGGGGGGTGCAAATCGAAAACTTGAGGGGTGGGGGGTGCAAATCGAAAATTTGAAAGTTTGTCCCCGGTAAGGGTCGCTACGCCTCTGGGGGGGGGGGGGGGGGGTGACACCATTAAGTGCCGCACCGGGTGACACCCGACCTCGCTACGCCACTGCTTTGACCATAGGGGGTTTGACCTGCGTAGGCATCTGGCTCAGCTACACAGCTGATACGATAATTTGGTGTGTTACAGTAATTTATTCATACAATATAGAGTGTGAGCAATATGGTGCACACACACAAA